AAAGAACAGAGATTTATTTGGCTTATGGTTCTTCAGGCTGTGCAAGAAGCATGGAGCCAGCATGTGCTTCTGGGGAAGCCAAAGGGTAGTCACATGTGCAGAAACTGCATGACAAGAGAGAAACTGAGAGAGAGGGAAAGAGGTGCCAGGCTCTTTTCAACAGTCAGTTCTCTTGGGAACTAAGAGTGAGAACTCAGTGAAAACTCACTCACTCAGGAGAGAATGGCACCAAGTCATTCCTGAGGGATCTACTCTCAAACCAAGCACCTCCCTCCAGTCCCTACCCTCCCACATTGGAGATCAAATTTCAACATGAGACTTGCTAAGGCCAAACAAACCATATCCTAACCATAGCAACGTCCAGTCATTTTTAGTCCATTAATGGGATTAATTGCCATTAATGAGCAAGTGCATACAAATGATGACATTGGTTACCTCTTTTTTTTTTTTTTTTTTTAAAAGAAGTATTTCTTAATTTGCAACTTTAAGCAGTTTTAGGCTACCCCTGAATGACTAGGGACTCTTATTCAACAAATATTTAAGAACTGTGGCTGAAATCTTGGTTCCTCATCCCTCTCCAATGCCTTTCAATAGTTGATTTTTGTAATTTATCTAGCTTTTCTAGTTGTTGATGGTGGGAGGGTTGGACTGACATTAGCTAGACCAGCAGACTCCTGAGGATGTGGTCTGGGAATCCCTCAGAAACCCTGAGGTTGGCAGGTCATGTGCTGATGTTTGCATTGAAGTTGGAAAAGCAATGATGGGTGAAGATGCTGGCACCTTAGTCTGAATCAAGTTTGTGGCACCAAGTTATACTAGCAGTTGTCATCTTCACTGTCATAAATTTATAATCAAAAACAAATGCCAGTTTTCACTGAAAATTTCTTGATGTAGTAAAAATTATTAATTTTATTAAATCTTGATTCTTAAGTATACCTCTTTTTAATGATTTTTGTGCCAAAATAGTAAGTGTTCATACGGCACTTCTGTTACATACTGAAATACAGTGGTTGTGGAAAAACACTTGGGTGATTGAGTGGTGTGCTGAACTAGTTTATTTTTCTCTTTCATGAATCACCATTTTTATTTGAAAGAATGACTGACAAACTATATTTCTCAAAAATGAATGAAGTGAGCCTGTCTCTTCAAGGCTAATAACTAATGGTATTCGTTGCCAATGATAAAATTGGCAATGCATCAAGTGAAAATTAGATTTTTAGAGAACTTGTATCTAGTACTGTGAGCTTGACAGCTTCTCAATATTTAAAGGCTCCTATGGCAAAATTGGTGATATTAACTAATGTGATTTTTATACTGTATAATGAAATATGTCAAAATTTGGAATATCTACATAACACAGTGAACCAGTGTTTTACAAATGACCGATTAATAATGTTTACAAAATTATACATAGGAGAAAGATCCATTCAGTGTGCAAGATAGACCAATGGATTTTAATGTAGCAGTACAAAAAGTTCACTGACATGTTTTCAGAATGCTCATTGAAAATAACTTTTGAAAAACTTTATCATTTTTCAAATGGTGGTGTAGTATCAAAGAAAAATATCCACAACTGTATAAAAAGACTATTAAAATACTCCTCCCCTTTCCAACTGCCTGTCTGTGTGAGTCTGGATTTTCTTTACTTCAACTAAAAAACAGCATATTTCAAAAATTGAATGCAGAAACAAATAGGGAATCCAACTTTCTTCTGTTCAGCCAGATATTATAACAGATTTGAAAAAATGTAAAATAATGCTTCTCTTCTCAATATTTTCTATTTAGAAAATAGACTTTAATAAAAATACTTATTTTAATATAACTTGATTATTTGTAATGATTCTAATATACAAATATTAGAACACTTGTCAGTTTTAATTTCTAATATGGTGAGTGTTGATAGACATAACCCATATAAACAAAAGCTCTTTGGGATCTTCAATCATTTTTAAGAATAAACACTACTGAATGAGACTATCATAGCTGGAAGCTCTATTTAGAAGTGGCCTGGATGGCTAAAGTATTTTTCATCTATATCCTTTTTGTATTAGGATGCCCAAACTTTCAGGAAATTTTTGCCATTTTATGTGGTAACAAATGAACAGATTGGTTAATATTATAAATATGCCAGGCAGATTAAATATTATTGTATATCAAATTTCAGATGTCAAGTAGATTGCTCACTTTGTAACACTGTATTAGATTACATGGCTGTAGTCTTTGACTTTCTGATCATTGACAAAATACAGAGACAAATGGCATGATTAGCTACTTTTTAAATAGTAGAACTTCTAAACATATGGTTGAGAAAGACGAGATTAAAATACTTCAACCAGTCTTGCCGTCCAACCTCAAGATTCGTTTTTGAAAGTGTCCCTGACTCTATAATGCCAAGATGGTGGCATTTCATTAAGGTGAAAACAAAGCCTTTGGTTGTTTTAGAAACAACTAATGTGATCAGATTAAGTCTCTTAAAGCATTTCTGTTTTAGAAGGTTATACAGAGAATTTCAGAAATTTCATTTCCTACCATGAGTGAATACAGTATTTTTTTTCTCCTGAGAGAATATGAGTATATATATAACCCACCCACGATTGTAAAATGGCTAAATGATTGCAGTAGTTTTCTTTATAACATATGCCTTGCCAGGCTCTTCTCATTCATATTGTTTTTGCCCTTTTATAAATCTGTCATCTTTAGAGTTAGAGCCATTCAATTTTTTCTGGATTATTCTTTGATTGATTTTATATATGAAAGTCTTATTCCTGTAATGTTTAGTTTTTGAGGGTAAGGGCTATACTCATTTTACATCATCCACAACATCTTATTGGCAGGCAGACTCTTGATACTTGCTGTTCAGTTTAAAAGTTGAGGTGTACAAAATTTATTTTCTATCTCCAAGTATTTGTTGAGAATTCACTATGTATGAGGTGCTATGTTAGGCACTAATAGATATGCATTGGTGCATTTCGCTTTTACTCTGAAGAAACAAATGACAAGAATTTAAGACATGGAGAATACTGAATCTTGTTATTTTGAAAGAATTGTTCCCATGGCAGTAGAATTATTATGAAAGAAACCATTTTTGTTGAAAATCCTACTTTCTTGGCAAATAGGTTAGAGAAGTGAAGTTTCAGTAAAGAAACTGCAGAGTTATCCTCCTCGCTGCACAATACTGTCAGCCAGAACAATGATTTTAAATAGCCCTGAAAGCAGAATTGATTTTGATTTCACATTTGAACTGATGTTTGCTCTGTCAGCCGGTGGGTCAGGTAGATAATGGTTTTCATGTTGAGAGGCCCAAGCCTTTCTCTTGTTGCTTTCCTTGTTGGTGGGTCCCTCACCAGATTTGTACCAGTCCTGGGCTATTACACGAGGATGCTCAGTGAGGGTTTGACTTTGAACTCATAAATAGGTGCATTAGAAAACCAGTCTTCCCACCAACCTCATTGAATTTTAAAATGTTGTTTCTCTGGGTATGAAATGTTTGGGAAATGTACTTAATGTTGCCTAACCATGCTAATGTGTTATAGTAATGACATTTCTTGGTTCTGAGTTTGAGTGTTTAATTTGATCCAGTAAAATAAAATATGTAATGAAAATGCTTGTTTAAAAGAAGTTCGTAATGTGGCATTGTAGGATAAGAGCATGGGCTCTGTAGATAGACTGCCCAGCTCTGCCCTTTTTAGCTGTGGGATCTTGAGTGAGGCTAGTCAGTGTTTAGAGCTCATTGCCTGTAGAACAGGAAATAATAGAGCTTTGGGAATATTAGCAGAGCTAAAGCATACAAAATGATGAGTATGTAAGTGTTGGCTGTTATTATTGTTTTTATTTCTGCTAATTAATGAAATCATAGTCTAAAATTTCAATAATTAGCCATAGCAGAATTACCTTCTTTGCCATTTCCCCTCCACAATTCTATTTCCAGGCTGTCTGTTTTCTCTGTTGCTGGAGTCATAAGAATTTTGTAATTATATTTTTGTGTGTGTGAAGGGGATATCTATAGTGTTGAGGGATTCATTTCAAATAAGTTTCAGTTTTTGAACAGCAATACCTGCTCAATTATCTCCCTGTGCATGCTGCCATTTGCAGCAGTCAAGTCATGCCTGTTATTAATTAATCACTTCCATTGAGAACTTAATTAGTGCCTTAATTAGGATCATCCTTGAGAAGGGAGCAGCATCATCCAGAGTTGGCTCCAAGTTGTTGACTAGTTCTAGCAAGCCCTTCTGGTCCTATGAAAACAGACTGAGGAGGAAACCTGTTGTGCTTCTATTTGTTTTTTTGTCCTCCTTGAAGAAAGCTGTGGAAGATCATCAGTTGTCTGTGATGCATCCATGTACTCTCACACATGCAAAAATCAGGAGACATATCCACTTATAATGGGTCAATCAGAACTCCAAGATTGGTTATTGAATTCTTGAGATTGTGCTTAACAAGCAGGAAACACATTGCTGTTGTTCTCTGCAAGTGTTGAAAATTAGACCATGCCTTCTGAATATGACAGAGTATTTCATTTTTCTGCTGAAAGTTGAAGTACTTTCCTTCTGGCATTACTGTTTTTTTAATATATATTTTTGAAATATTGCCATATTGTTACAGGATGAAATCAGCACTCCATTTTCTTTCTCTTTATCCCTTCAAGAAAATATGGGAAAAGGAAGCAAAAGTAACATCTTACCACCTTATTTTCCGATAAAAGTAGAAATTGAGTTGAGAGTAAAAGGGACAGTCAGGTTACTCCAAAAACAGTACTCCTCCAGACATTTTGGGGGGACTCTTAAGTTTGCAATGACAAAATAAAAATACACTAATGGCTTCTATTATGAGGAAAGGGCAAACCCTTGAGTCCAGTTCCCAAAGGGGGACAGGCATTGTGAAATGGACCTACTTTACATGAGCATATTTGCTTCATTTTCTTTGACTTCTGGGCATTTAAATGATGTAGGTAAATTGTGAACTTGGTGAAAGGCTCAATTGAAATGTTTTGTATCCAACAGATTTGCTGCTACTTCCAGGAGAAGTGGAGCAGGCTGCAAGCACCAGCATTCCTCCCTGTATCCCTTCTGTGGCCCAGCCTCCTACCTGTGAAGTGAAGCCAAAGCCTGCTGTAAAAAGAATGGGCAAACAGACGAAAGAGGTACTCTACAGGGAATTCAGTCATTCTCTACACTGCCTTGATTTTGTAATTCATCCCTTCAAAGAAATGCTGTATACTTTTGTATTTTTCTAAGATTTGGGAAAATATAAAATTCAAGTTGCTTAATTGGTCCCTCTCATAGCCATCTATCTCAAATGCATACATTTCTTTTTAAACACATAGCACAATTATGTTTTTATGTGGAAACCATTTTGTTTTACAGTGTATGCCATGCTACAGATCTGTGCTACCCAAGGACTACACAATAGAAAGGATGGACAGTTTTCTTGCGCTTTTTAGTCTGAACAGGCCGTTTTTATTATTATTGATAAGGTTCTATAAACTTTTGAATTAGTTAAGGTAAGGCCAGGCTTCTATAACAGAGAATCCCAATAATAATTCAATGACTGAAAAGAGATAGATGTTTATTTCTCTTATTTAGCAGCCTATATAGAGCCCTTAAAATGAGCAGGTGGCTCCTTTTTGGGGGGTCATCAGGGACCTAGGTTCCTTTCTGGATGTCCATTATGTTTTAGGACATCGTCCTCACCTGCGTATTCCAGGTCAGGTCATCATCATACCTGGAGGGCAGAATAGAGGAGCATGGGGACAGCATGTTTCCCCAAGGCTTAGGACTCAAGGTCCTTAATTTCTGCTCACATTCCATTGGTGACCACTTAGTCACATGTTCCTACTAGCCACTGGGGAGCCTGAGAAATGTCACCTAGCTATGAAAATGGAATCTATGGCATATCTTTCGCAAATGTGCAACTTGAAAGTCATCTTTTGCTATCATTTTGCAGCTCTTCTACATATGCTTAATAAACTTGTATCAATAGAGGCTGTTGCTAGTGCTGGTAGTGACCTTTCTCACCCTCCTTACTGGAACACAAAGCAGGATCAGGCACAAGAAGTTGTTAAGGGCTCTTTATTATTGTTTTCTAATAAAATCCTTAGGGTCTTTTTGGATTATTTAATCATGAGGTACTAGTCTTGTTACTAGAAGATATTCTGTTATAGAATTAGCCATTCAGTCAGAAATAATCCACACATTTCACTTTTAAATTACTACTTTCTAATAAGTACTTTTGTTCACTGACATCATGAAAGTATATCCAGGATGCATGCAGGCTTATAATAAACTCCCAAATTGATTACCGGCTAAACTGTTAGGGACAGTCACTTTTCAATATGCTTTTTGAATTATAGATTGCTCTCTCTGAGTTGTAAACAGCTAAAATTATAAGGCTATTTGTAGAAGGAATCAGTTTTTTTTTTTAAGATTTGTTCATGCTGTTGACTTCACTTGTGGCCATACAAGTTATTGGACCAGCCAGTAGACATGGCACCTAGTACTTTTATAGAAATACAATTTTACTTCAGTACAATTAGAGAATATATATAATCTAGTACAATTATAGAAATTGCTACAAAGTGATTTTAGTTAATGGGTTAAAAAAACTGAATGATTAAACATTAGTTCTATTTTCTTTAATTTGCCTATGTGGTACTATGAATGAAAACAGAATCTATCAAATAGCAGTATAATTCAAGTTGAGACCCCATATATGATGGTGTGTTTAAGAGGAATATAAATTTCTTACCAGAAATGTGGACATTTAAAAATGTTGGAATCAAAATGATACAAGCCACAGATGAACAACTTTTGCTGTTTTTTGAATATCTGAAGTAATATCTTGGTTGGGAATTTTTATTTCTAATTACTATTTTTTAGAGTAACTTTTCACAACCATCTAGAATCACAGTATAGGTTGAACATTCCTAATGGGAAAATCCGAAATGCTCCAAAATTTGAAACTTTTTGAGTGCTGACCTGATGCTCAAAGGCAATGCTCATTGGAGCATTTTGGATTTCAGATTTTGAGATTAGGGATGCTCAACTGGTATATGTTCTGCAAATATTCTAAAATCTGAAACCCAAAATACTTCATCCCAAGCATTTTGGATAAGAGATACTCAACTTGTACTGTATCAACTCTGCTTTGGTTTGATAACATTCATCTTATTTTAAAGCACCCAGAGCTCGTAAAAGAACATAATCATTAATTTATAGCAAATGGGTCCTGAAGGGCTTACTGAAAGGCCATTTTGGGATTAGAGATGATAGTTTCTTTCTGTGATTTCAATCTGAAAAGCTGAAAATATATTCTGGATGTCCTTCCTAACTTTCTCTTAATTGCCTATTAAGAATCCATCAACTTTCTGATATGAATTGGACCAACTCAATCTTTTACCTAATTTAGTTTTTTTATTTTTAAATTAGCATATAATAATTGTATATATTTATGGGGTATAGTGTGATATTTTAGTACATATATATGTGTATGATCAAATCAGGGTAATTAGCATATCCATCACTTCAAACATTTAACATTTTTTTGGTTCAGATTTTTTCCCTAATTTTACCACTGGTTCTACACACATGCATCATTGTGTATAGAATTATGTGTATAGAATTATCTTGCCTTAGTTACTCCATTTTGATGAACTTTGGAAGTTTGAAGCTGCTCTACAGAACAAATAGAGTTGTTATTAGGAGGATAAAAAATTGTGATACCCACCCCCTCCCCCTGAAAACTGTGGAAGAGGTCATAGAAGAAACTTGTGTGGTGTTTTAATAGGAGCTCTCCTGTTTGTCCAATTCATAATGGTACTCTAAAAATTTTCTCCTATAAAGACAGTTTATTTACCATATTACTTTGTATGGTAGCCTACAGCTAAATGCTACCATTATTGATTTAAGCATTAGTTTTATTTTCTTTAATTTGCCTATGTGGTACTATGAATGAAAACAATCTCTCCATAAACAGTGCCTCTATTAGAATAAGTCACATGAGCAATTTTAAGGGGACTGAAAGTTTTCCAATACTCCACAAATTTTATTCCCTGAGGGGCTACAAAAAGGTTTCAATAGATTTGAAATTAGACACCTGAAATCCACATATTTCTTTCAGCTCCTTAGGCAAAAATAACAAGTTAATAACTTAATTCATAGTTGTTTTTTGTTTGGCAGCAGGGGACTTGGTGTTCCATTGCACAAAGTCTTCACTGAAGTAAATCATAATTTCAGTTTGTAATCTAAAAACCTTGGCTTTGAACCCTAACACGAACTGAATTGGAAAGAAGAGAATTTCCAAAGTATGCCACAACAGCCAATAACTGAAATATATACATAGAAATGCAACCTTTCTGTATTTGAAAAGCTGTCCCATCCTGGCTAACACGGTGAAACCCCGTCTCTACTAAAAAAAATACAAAAAAATTAGTCAGGCGTGGTGGTGGGCGCCTGTAGTCCCAGCTACTCGGGAGGCTGAGGCAGGAGAATGGCGTGAACCCGGGAGGCGGAGCTTGCAGTGAGCCGAAATCGTGCCACTGCACTCCAGCCTGGGCGACAGAGCGAGACTCCATCTCAAGAAAACAAACAAACAAAGCTGTCATTTAGAAGATCACAGCGATATCTTGTGAATTGCAGTGTGCACCTACCTAGGCTCACTTTGAATCACTTATGTGTCTCCTGTCTTGGAAGACTAAATTCACTCATGCATGTCATCATAAGCTTACGTAATTAACATGCAAAGTCAGAACTAGTGCCGAGCTCAGTGCCATGCATATAGTAGACCTACAGTAAACATATATTAAATGAACAAATAAATAAACAAACCTCACCACTAAATGGGAGTGATTTTCTGGTATACAGTAATAACATGGTTGGGGTCATTCTCTCTTTTCTATTTGTTCATTCACATCAACATGTAAACAGGTTTAAGTCTTTCCTATCCTTAACAAAATTAAACAAAACAAGGAAAACAAGCTTCCCTTCATCTTGGACCCCTCTTTGGCTACTGTCTGTTCTTTTTTCTCTCTTTTCATCCAGAATTGAAAAGCTATTAGACTCTTCAGTATACTGTAAAATATCCTCGGCTCCAATCACCTGCCTGGATGTTTTCAGAATGAAGGCACCAATTGCTTTATGATTGCCAAATCCAGGGAACACTTTCCAGTCTTCCTTTTAATGGATATCTCTACCATGTTTGACACTATTGACCTTCCTCTGGCACTCTTGCTTCGTTGGTTCTCACTTCACTTTTCTTCTGTGATTCTTTACGTATTTCTCAAATTGTGTTTTCCCTGACTCCTTTGGGTTTTCTCTCCATCCATCACTTATGAGTTGGTGTGCCTTAGGGTTCAGTGCTTAACATACAGTTCTTCACAACCTACATACTTGAATCCATCTTCATCTTCAAATTGACATCTCTAGCCTCAGACCTTTTTTTTTTTTTCAGTTTCAAGTTTGTATATTCAATTCATCTAGATTCCTTCAGGTACATTCAAATTAAACTGTGCTTTACCTGCTTCCCTTTCTGCATTCTTCCTTTTCTTACATTTCCATATTCAGTCACTTATTGAGTGCTGCCAATTTCACTTTCTGTGGATTTTTCAAGTCTCTGCTACCAGTCCCCTGTTCTCATGATGTCTTATTGAACTGCTCTAGCAGGTTCTTGAGTACTCTTCTGGCTCCAGGCTTATCCCGCTCAAATCTACCTTCTGTTTAACCTTCATAGTGATCTGTCTCATATAATTTCCAACAGGGCAGGGCCTCTTTTTTTTTTTTTTTTTTTTTTACTCCAGCACCTGTCTCATTGTAGGTGCTTAATAAAAATTAAATGGATGAAGGAATTTATCTGAAATGCATAGATGACCAAGTGTCTTCCCTGCCTTCAAAAAATTCTTCAGTGACTTTTCATCATCTCTAGGATGATTTGGCACCATATTTGTCTCTTGCCACTCTCCAACTTACACTTTGTGCTCTGACAATGTTGACCTAATTTCAGACTCACAAATGTGAAATTCTGCATCTTATTTCCATGGACTGCTCGTGGAAACTCCCCCTGTCAGCAAAGCTCTTCTCTGTCAACTTGTAAACTAATGTTTACCCTTTAAGAGTCGGCTTAGATATCACCTCTTCCAAGAAGCCTTCTCTGATTCCTTCCTAATCCCCTCCAACTTAGTCTGGGTCAAGTATTCCTTCTGTGTTCCTATCATCCTGTTCTTACCACATTTTACTCTAATGATTTGTTTGTGATTTCACATAGGTCTTCATCTTTGTATCCCCAGCACCTAACACAGTCACTAGAATTTAATAGGAATGTAGAGTTTGTAGAAAGAATGTAAAATATCTGAATGATTGCAGGAGGCTATTCCTCTGACATTTTGACTCAGGGATGTACTGGCCACATTACAGTATATCCCCAAAATGGTTTAGAGTGTCCTGAATGTCATGTTTTGGCATTGCAAATGTGACATTATTACTATTCTTTATTTCTTGCTTTAATATCTCAGTATCTAACTGATTGCCTAGAAAATTTAACAATAGCTGCTGTTAATAACCCTTAATTTCTTAGTGAAGAAATTTATATTTTAAGTATATTTTTATACATTGAAGGATATTATAAATGAATAATCTTTGTGTTGACATTATCTTTACTGACTTGCTGAAAACTTTATTTCATGTTATTGTTATGGTTAGTACCAAGTGACTGATGAAGAAAATCATCATCCATAACAGAGAAGAATGTAAATGTATTAAAAAAAACTTAAAGGAAAATAAGATATTTCCATTTAAGAATACATTTCTACATGTCTAGTCCCATAAGTTTGGATATTATAGCCACAGGGTAGTTTGAGACCTCAGGGAAGGGAAAATCTTAAGGAGGCAATGGGTTGGGCCGTATCTAGAACTAACTCGGCCATGGGAACCCTGATCAAAGTTTAGAAGTAAGTCTGAAATACAGGACTTACTTTAGCTGGGTTTCTAGGATGAGGTAGATAATAAGTGAAGTGATGTGTGGGGAGGCTAGTAGGATTTTCTGGAGAGTGGCAAAACTCAATCAAGAGTAAGAGGCCAGGTGCGGTGCTCATACCTATAATCCCAGCACTGCGGGAGGCTGCAGTGGGTGGATTACTTGAGGCCAGGAGTTTGAAACCAGCCTGGCCAACATGGTGAAACCCTGTCTCTACTAAAAATACAAAAATTAGCCAGGCCTGGTGATATGCGCCAGTTGTCCCAGTAACTCAGGAGGCTGAGGCAGGAGAATTGCTTGAACCTGGGGGCTGGAGGTTGCAGTGAGCTGAGATTGTACCACTGCACTCCAGCCTGGGTGACAGAGGGAGTCTCTGTCTCAAAAAAAAAAAAAAAAGAAAAAGAAAAATAGAAGAGTAAATGAAGCTTCTACACTTTCCTCTCTGTGCTTCTGTTTCCCTTTTTTGCATTCCTGTATTGGAGAGCACAGCACGTGATACGGAAATCATTCCTACACTTCTATCTTCTCCTTGAAGTTATGAAACCTTGTAGACATAGATTTTGCTATAATCACTTTATGTTCTCAGAATCTGCTATATAATAAATGTTTATTGAGTGAAGAGGTAAGGGGAGGGAAGTGAGAATTGAGGTTATTTGTGTTCTGTAGAGGGAGTTGGGGGCATGGTATGGTGTCACTGAGATTTTAACATGGCAAAGGGATTTGTCTAATTTGAAATTGTATTCCTAACCCCTAAGTGAGAGGTGGGTGAAGACAAAGTGACTGCATCTAGTGGGGATGGCTAGTAAGGTGTAGGCAAGTTTTAGAGGTTTCAAGGTAGAATTTAAAGACCTAGTATAGGGGACATATGCAGGTATAGGCAGCTTGAAGCTTAACAGACATGTGATGAAAGGCACTTTACCCAGGCATTAAAAGGCATCAAAATTCCCATCAGACTGAATATATTGGTGGAAACAGGTTCTCCTCCTTATGCTTTGCCAGGATCAGCTAGAATCAGCTCCAGAAGGGGTTGTGGCCAACCAAGCCTGCAGACCTCAGTACTTACTGCTGAGTAGAGCTGGAGACAGCAAGAACACTTAACATTCAGGAAATGAACATCTTGTGTCATTGTGTGTGTGTGTTTCTGCATTTGAGCCATCTAAGCAAGACTATCCCACTGTCACTTTGGCTGTGTTGATGATAAATTTGATCTCAGAAAGTGATCAAAATCAGCCTTGCGGGCTGATTTGCTTTTTGTATACAGCTGGGTTTTAAAAGCTAGTACTGGTATTACATGTAGCCTTGAGTACAGTTTTCTAATGGTAGGCTGTGAGAATTGATCATCTTATTTAGAAAAGGTCTTCTCTCCAAAGAGCTATGACTTGGCTTAGTGAAAACTTCAAGGTTGATTCTTGTTGATGTTTCTGTTGAGCAGGTGAGACTTTATTTGAAGCAGATTACCCTGGATTCAAATATTGCTTCTCTCCCTTACTAACTATATTTTGGGCAAGTTACTTAACCTTTCAGAGCTTTATAAAGTAGGGGTAACAGTGACTACCGGTAGGGTTGTTTGAATATCACTGCTGATGCCATGTGGTTCCTAGTATCAGGACTGGCACATGGTGGAAACTCACCATGGAAACTCAGTGGCAGTTTTGTCAGGAAAGCACTAAGGTCCTTTCTAATAAAGAGGAAATGAGCACATCTCCAGAAGTTGTTCTCCTGCTGATTTTACTAAGAAAGGATGATAAATGGCTGAGCGTTTGCTATTAGCACTGCACACCTAACTTCAAAACATAACTTGCGGAACAGGTAGGATATAACTACTCATTATTTTTTCTTTCACCTTTAGTAACAGCAGATAGTTTCTGAGCTACATGCTACATTTTTACCAACATTGTATAAGCCACTCAAAGAGATCATCTTCCATGCAAGAATATTTAAAGCTGATTATAGCTTTGGGACATTTTTTCATTCTTGCATAAACCATAGTTTTCAATTATTTCAGCATCACTATACATATTGTAGAGCTACATAGAAGCACTGGATGATTTCATTGTATCACACACCATTTGTTTTTGGAGAGGCTTTTTAGGGTGTGATACAAGAGATTTAAGGCATACTCTTGGTTTGTTGGAAAATATGCTTTTTTATCTGCCTTCCTTTAGGAATTCTTTAAAACTCACAAATTATGAATAGATTCAAAATTATTACATTTCTTTGTAACACTTTACTTATAGATAAACTAATATTTTTAAATTCTTGGCAGGAAAAAAGAGATCCTGGACTTTTAAATTTAAACTATGTTTCAAGTTTTACTGTTATTAGCCAAGATTTATAGGTATTATCTGAAGAAGTATATTCAATGTAGTGTACTTTTATCTTTAAAAAAATTATGTTTTATTAATATAGATCTTTTTTGGCAAGTGGTGAAAATCTATTTAAGGTTGATAAAAAATCTTAGTGTATATTTTTCTCACATTTTAATATAACTGTTGGTTTTTCTGTATGCTTCTCTAGTCCTAACACTACAAGTGGTAAAATGTATAATGAGTGTATGCAAGGGAGACTTTCTGATTCTTGCCTTGGGCAGCATTAGTTAATGATATTCATTCAGATACAGCATGGTATAAATGGGGCATATTAAGAGGCTTAAATTAGGTCAAACTGAATAATTGAATTTATTCCTTTACTTAAAAACAGCTTAATCAGCTGAGAGTGCTGAAGTCTGAAAAAAGGTTTAATTAAATATTACTAGGGAGTTAATTTTCTCAGTTTTATTTCATTTACAATGATTGTGTATGTTTTTTCCTCCTTTGTTACCTTTTATAGATACTTGGAGATGAAGTTCAACCCTTCTCACTTGATGAAGAATTTGACTATGACAATGTGACACTAACCTCCAAGTTTAGTCCTACAGAGATAGAGACCATCAAAGAGTTATGCAAGCAGAAGAGAAAGGACACCAGCCCAGACTTAGAGGAACCCTGTGACTGATTCACAGAGGCATTTTTTTGTGCGTGTGTGCTTATTTTAATTTTGTTCTTATTCAAGCAACATTAGAATAAAAGATAAACCTACTATAATTCCCTTTGTGGAAATTTACATATGTGCACTCATTTATCAGAGTTACCTGTTATTAGGGATATAGAGCAATAAGGCCAAGGAGATTGCAGCCCTTACAGAATTCTCTCTTGCCATGTTGTTGCTGCATCTTGTGCCTGGTTGGAGGAGATGGGAGTGGGAAATGGGAACAGGAAGCAGCATCTATGGAGGGATCCATTTTGATGAAAGCATTGCACTAGGTGATGTGAGGTGCTGTACCAAAGGTCAGAAACATGATCCTACTTCCTTGAGAGTAAAGGACAATTACACATGAAAACACATTGTAGCACATTAGAGAAAAATTGCTAATATGAAGTAGGTCTGGGTCCTAGCTAGGTCCAGAGATAGTGCTATCAGTGTGAGTGTTGTTGAGAGATTTGGCTTCTGGAATTGATTGGGAAAGGCTTTACTGAAAAAAGGCATTGAGAATTGATGATATGTCATACATTAAATTATTGCATTTCTTTATTACCATTAAACCATGTGTGATAACAGTTACAAAGTACAAGGATATTGGGGGAACCTGCTGCCAATATTTCAACATAGGTTCTTTCTATTTTCCCTAAGTGTCAGCTGGCTGAGAAACAAAGAGAAAGAGTACAGAGAGAGGAATTTTACAGCTGGGCCTCTGGGGGTGACATCACATATCGGTAGGACCATGATGCCCCCCTGAGCCGCAAAACCAGCAAGTTTTATTAAGGATTTCAAAAGGGGAGGGGGCGTACAAACAGGGAGTAGGTCATGAAGATCACATGCTTCAAAGGGCAAAAGGAGAACAAAGATCACATGCTTCTGAGGCCAATAAAGATCACAAGGCAAAGGGCAAAGCAAGATCACAAGGCAAAGGGCAAAGTCAAAAACTCCTGATAAGGGTCTGTGTTCAGCTGTGCACATATTGTCTTGATAAACATCTTAAACAACAGAAAACAGGGTTCAAGAGCAGAGAACCGGTCTGACCTCAAATTTACCAGGGCGGGATTTTTTCTCCACCCTAATAAGCATGAGGGTACTGCAGGAGACCAGGGCGTATTTCAGTCCTTATCTTAACCGCATAAGACAGACACTCCCAGAGCTGCCGTTTATAGACCTGCCCCCAGGAATGCATGCCTTTCCCAAGATCTTAATTATTAATATTCCTTGCTAGGAAAATAATTCAGCTATATCTTCCCTACTTGCATGTTTGTTTATAGGCTCTCTGCAAGCAGAAAAATATGGCTCTATTCTGCCCGACCCCGCAGGCAGTCAGACCTTATGGTTGTCTTCCCTTGTTCCCTAAAATTGCTGTTATTCTGTTTTTTTTCAAGGTGCACTGATTTTATATTGTTCAAACACACATGTTTTACAATCAATTTGTACAATAGTGGTCCTGAGGTGATGTACATCCTCAGCTTACAAAGATAACAGGATTAAGAGATGTAAGACAGGCATAAGAAATTATGAGAGTATTATTTGGGAACTGATAAATGTCCATGAAATCTTCACAATTTATGTTCAGAGATTGAAGTAAAGACAGCATAAAAAATTATAAGAGTATTATTAGGGAAATGATAAATGTCCATGAAATCTTCACAATTGTTACTCTGCCACGGCTCCAGCTGGTCCCTCTGTTCGGGGTCCCTGACTTCCCACAACACAAGGAGTGAGCTCTATCTCCAGAAGCTTAAAATACAACTTGAGAAGGCAAAGCAACTAGAGAATATAAAAATGCATTATGAAATGCTAATTATGTAACATACCCATAAATGCATTAAGGGAAGGAGAAAAGAGAGATGAAGGCCCAGAGGAAGGGGGAGTAATATGTTTCAAGTAATTTTTATTATTGTGGGAATTAGTAACAAATTGAATGTACTTAAACTTAACTGATTTTCTTTTCTTCTTTAAGTACACTTTGTTTTTCAGAGCAGTTTTATATTCACAGAAAAATTGAGGAGAACAGCACTGTTTTCATACACCCACTGCGTCTCCCTGACGTAGACTCCCTTGCTATCAGTATCCCACACCAGAGTCATTTTTTTTGTTTTGTTTTTCACTATTAGTTTTCTTTTTCTTTTTCTTTTTTTTTTGTGGTAAGAACATTTAACATGAGCTCTACTCTCTTAAATGTTTAAGTGTACAATATAATCTTGTTACCTATATGCACAGTATTGTACAGCAGATCTCTGGAATGTATTCATGTATAATTGAAACTATACCCACTGAACAGCAACTCTCCATTTCCCCCTGCCCCTAAACCATGGCAACCTCCGTCCTCCTTTCTGCTTCTATGAGTTTGACTTCTATAGATAACTCATGTAAGTGGACATGGAGCATTTGTCCTTCTGTGATTGGCTTATTTCACTTAGCATAATGCCCTTCAGGTTTGCCCATGTGGTCACATAGCGCAGGATTTCCTTTTTTTAGGCTGAGTAGTATTCCATTTTATGTATATACTACATTTTCTTTATCCATCCATCAATGAACATTTAGGTTGTTTCCATATCTTGGCTATTGTGGATAATGCTGCAGGCCTGTGCTTATATGCATGCACTTGTGCTTGTGTGTGTGTGAATGTGTGTAAGTATTCATAAAAATGCCATTTATGTTATTTACAAAACAACGCTCTTGATTTCATGTTGCCCTAGGGTCAAGTGACTTCCACATTTATTTTTACTTGTTTAACAAGCTTTCATAAAGCTGCATTTGTGTGTTCAAGCTTTAGGCAGTGGGGAGGATACAGGCAAGTTAGACATGGTCCAATTAAGTAGGGAAGAGAGATGTATACACAAATAGTTATAATAGAGCTATGTTGTTCAATGTAATAGCCACTAGCTGCATTTTAGTACACTAGAGTACTTACAGTATTATGACTGAGAAACTGATTTTCAGCTATTTAATTTTTAATTCAAAATAAATGATACTTGATTCATTTATTAGAAAACTTTCAAGTACATTTAGAACAATTTGGGTATGTGAATCTACTTTTTCAATTATAAATTTTATGAAATGTAAATGCAGATCAGTTATTTTGGAAAACAGCTTAGTGTATTAGGGTCCTCTAGAGGGACAGAACTAATAAGATGTGTATATATATATATATATATAAATATAGAAACTTATTAGGAGAATTGACTCATACGATCACAAGGTGAAATCCCACAATAGGCCATCTGCAAGCTGAGGAGCAAGGAAGCCAGTCAGAGTCCCGATATCTCAGAAGTAGGGAAGCTGGCAGTACACCCTTCAGTCTGTGGCCGAAGGCCTGAGAGCCGCTGGCAAATCACTAGTGTAAGTCCAGGAGTCCAAAAGCAGAAGAACTTGGAGTCCATTGTTTGAGGGCAGGAAGCACCCAGCACAGGAGAAAGATGAAGGCCAGATGACTCAGCAAGTCTGCTCTTCCATCTCCTGCCTGCTTTATTCTAGCCACGCTGGCAGCTGATTAGATGGTGCCATCTAGATTGAGGGTGGGTCTGTCTCTCCCAGTTCACTGACTCAAATGTTAATCTCCTTTGGCAACACCCTCACGGACACACCCAGGAACGATACTTTGCATCCTTCAATCAAGTTGACACTCAGTATTAACTATCACAGCTTAGTGTCTGAATTTAAAATATGCTGCAAGTACAAAATATGTGTTGGATTTCAAAGAATTAGTAGTGAAAAAACTGTGAATTTCTTGTTATATTTTTTGTATTAGTATATGTTGAAATGGTACTATATTTGATTAGTTAAATAAAATATATTATTAAAATTCACCAATTTCTTTTTTCCTTTATCATGAGACCACTAGGAAATCTGAAATTACACATGTGGCATGCATACTTATATTTGACAACACCATAGTCGAGGGTAATCTTTGTTGTGAGACTGGTGTATACCAAGAGCTACTGGGACAAAGCATGTTGGAGTTTTAAAATTATGTTTTGGAGAACTAGGGACTCCTTACAGAGAAGCTGATGTTTAAGCTTGGTTGTAAAGAATTAGTAGGAGTTTTTGAGGCAGTAGAGGGGGAAAAGCATTCCAGTCCAAGGGAATAGTGCACAGAGGTGTAATGGAGTGTGACAAACTATTGCTTGGTTAAAGTAAAACCATAGTTATCTAGTTTATGGGATAAACAGGATAACTGCAGGAGAGGAAATTAGAAGTGTAGATTGGAGCCAGATTCTGCAAGCCTTGTGTACTGTAGACTTTATTCTCTAGTTGATATGGAGCTATTTAATGTTTTCATGAGAGGAATAACACAATCAAAAATGTATTTCAGAAAGATAACTTCAGCGTGAATGTGAGAGGTAAAATGAATATAGGTCAATTGGGAGACAAGTTCAAAGGATAGTTTGTGTGGGTAAAAGTGGGGGGCATAGATTTGATGAGATCTGGGAGCAGAAGTAGCGAGGATTTTTGACTAGTGCAATGTGGAAATGAGAGAGGAATTGTGAGGTTAAGACAAGATCTTAGTGTGCAATCTATGTACTCTTTGGCTTGAGATAACCTTGTTATATAATTGTTAACAGGATTGGATACTCTTTTGGTTCTCTATATATAGCATTTTGGTAGTTTCAATAAAAAAGACTTTTTTTTTTTTTTTAAGAGACAAAAGTTCTGTCACTCAGGCTGTTGTTCAGTGGCACAATCATAGCAGCCTCGAACTCCTGACCTCAAGCAATCTTCCCACCTCAGCCTGCTGAATAGCTAGGACTACAGGTGTGAGCTGCCATGTCTGGTGATTTTTTAAAACTGTTTTTTTTTTTTTTTTTTTTTCCCCCATAGAGACAGGGTCTCCCTATGTTTCCCAGGCTGGTCTCTAACTCCTGGCCTCAAGTGATCCTCCTGTTTTGGCCTCCCAAAGTGCTGGGATTACAAGTGTGAACCACTGCACCTGGCCAAGACTTCATCATTTTTTACAACATCTCCATTTTATGGACTTAAATAGTTTTATAATCGAAGAAACAAAACCACCTTTTTAAGTGTTTATAAAGAACTACATTTCAGTGAAGTAGTTAATTACTTAACTAGGCAGAGAAGATGGCAGGTGGAACATTTCTCTCTGTAGGGTTGGTATACTATGTCTTGGCTTCATTCCTCTTGACAATTTTTGATCCCTGAATTATTTGAGGGGAAATTGTGTATTATGGCAAAAGTGACAGTGGAAAATGAGCCCCTTAAAGCATTTGAATGAAATTGTTTTGTCTCCATTATACCATTACCCTTGCCCTAACTAGCAAATACTTCTTCATGACTGCCTTTCAGTCTTAGCAATCCCTTAAATTGATGGAAATGGTATGTTTTACACTGGTTGGCAAACCCTAACCAAGTAATCCTGCACTTGTAAGGATGGAAAATGCTCACATGGATTAGGTTGTGGCAACGAAAATAAGATTAATAACGAGTAGAAGATAAGGAGAAGCATCTGGGTGTATACACCAAAA